ATTTACTCCTGTGATTTACTGATTATTTACTCCTAATCTTCACTAACATTTGCTAAGCCTGTCATTCACAACACAGAACAAAACTGAGTAAGTGCCACCTTTCAGAGTCCCTCGTTTTTAGATACATTAATATGGACACCACCAAATGCTGGGAAACAAAGTGACCAGTGGTGGATCCTACTCTCTGGTTAAAATTAGCATTTGTACCTCCTACTGAACGACTTATGAAGGAAACAGAAACATCCATTTGTTAGTGTCTCTTTTTACTTCCTGATGCACAAGCTAGAGTAGCAGAGCTCCAAAGAAAAATAAATGGCCAGCTGAGGTACAAAAAAACACAAGAGAAGCAAACATTTTACCTGAAGTATAAATGCAATGCAAATTTACACTGTTTCACTGAAAATTAATGAAATGTTGCAGGTAATACGGGGCAGATGGACTAATAGTACTGCTTTGAGCCCGGTATCTCAGGCATAATTTAGATAAACCACAAAGCCACGCAAGGGGATGTATGGGAAGAGAAATCTCATTTGAAAGGCAGTGACAAAGGCAATATAAACCTGTGAATTTACTCGGTGAGAATGAAGCAGTAAGTACCTCTAAATGAAAGACAATGCTTTCCTAATGAAGACAGAAGATAGAAGGTAGGGTGAGTGACAGCAAAAGGCTTAGAAGCCAAAGACATTAAAATGTCAAGATTGTAGGTGAAGTAGTTTGCTCAACACTTTAACAATTTATTCTTGTTTTTTCATCCTAACATATTTACAGAATCCTTTTTCTCTGCGATGTCAAAGCAAAGATATTTCTTCCCTATCCCATTCTCACACACACTGAGAGAGATGGAAATGCTAATATTTACAAGAAGTACAGAGCTTTCATGTTACTTCCACCATGGTTCAGTAGCTATGTAAGAAGTCTAGCAATAAACAAAAAGTGGTTGTGTGTCTTGTGTTATTGTTACAGTACAAGGGGTCAGGAATCATGCATGTGTTTTTTGGCATACAGTCAAACCTACAGGACTGTTATGGAGAGTTTATTTGCACTGGCTGCTTACACAAATGACTACAGGTGGCAGAGACCAACACGCTTGGATCAGCACTTCTGAGCTACAAAAGAAGTGACCTGTAAAAGTAGGAAAGTAGTGTTAAATTAAGAAGAAAAAAAGAACAAAAAGACTGCTTTTCACTGAAGTAGTTGACTAAAATGAGCCCTATCTAAATGCTCCAAAACCGAGGTGGCCATTTATTTCAAGAGCTTCTAACATATTCTTGAATAAGATTGTTGAAATCTTTGACATTTTCCATCTACATGGAGTTATTTTACAGTGCACTATCACCATGGAAGCAGTTAAAAAAAAACAACAACAAAACAACCAAACACAAGAAAACAAAACAAAGCAAAATCACCACCACCACCACCTGAAAAACCACCTCAGTTTTAAATAGAAAAAGGAATTATTGTTTCACATTTCAAACTGTGGTTATTTGTTTGTTTGGCTAATTTAGCAATGAATTCAGGCATTTATAAAAAAGAAATACATCAAGTTTTTAAGAAGGGATACTATCAAAGCTCCAACTGTCAGAATTTGACTAAATTTATAATGCTCTATTATCTCCAAAGTCAATATAAGCCTACTTACAGGATTATTTGCAAGAAGTGCTTTAGCCAGGAAGACCAGTAAGAGTAACTCAACAAGAATGTTTGGCTAAAAGGTGACTACCATTATCAAATTCTGGGGATGATATAATTATTTTTTGAATAATTACATATTGCTGTTAGTCTCCCTTCCTTCCTCCTCTAAGGTCAAGGGAAACAAACCTTAATCAGAAGTCTGCTTCCTTTAAAAGACTTGTATTAATAGGAAAGCAACTCATGAAATAGTCACGGAATAGGAATGGGTATATGAGCCTTGTACTACTGTGTGCTGGTTGTTACAGAAAATTGATATGGATGTTTTAATAGTAAGACTTCATTTACATCCAGTAAATTAAGTAATTTAAATCTTTATAGGTAGATTCATCCAGCAGCTGTTAAAAACAAGGCTGCACCAACATTTTTCTTCATAAAGAAAGAGAGAAGTGGCACTGTACAACCTGGACTACATGCTCAGCTTTAGAATTCTGCCCTACAAGCAGCCACATGTGGATTTCAGAGCTAACTGTGCTATCAAAACAAACAATGCAGGCTATAATTTCTTTCAGAGCAAATGATCTTACTGTCCCACAATCTTGAGCCTTGTGGAAAGTCTGAATTGCTCAAGGAGAATCATCCTCCAGAACACCAGGTGCTGGGCTTCTCATTTTCCACTGTTTGAGAGCCCACTCCTGCTTCCCCTCTCTTCCCACTCGCTCACCTTTGCACAGTGCTCCCTCAGATCTTGCCTTCTTATCCCACACCTCTGAGCTGTCAGCAGCTACCCACCTTCCTGCTTGCCTAACACCTCGCTCACCCTCATCTAACAATATCTGACACTCATCCTCAGCCTGTAATTTCTAGTCTGCTATTCCATATAAAACCATAACCTTCAATCTTGTTACCCTCCTCATACTCATTTTGTTTTCTTTCCACTCATTAAAACTCCCACTTATTACAAAACAGCTCACCCAACCCAGTTCTCCTTAACCCTTTAACAAACATTTCATTCCCTGTAACTACCTTCATACAACTGCTCTGCTCTTTGGTTTCTGTGACCTACCAGAAAAGGCCCCCACTGCTCTTCACAGACTCCAAAGTTCTCCAGTCTCCTCCAACTCCATGGTACCAGCAGCCACAAATCCACTGTCTGCTCCCCACCTGTTTCCTTAAGCCTTGTCTTGCACCAGATGGATATTCCTGACTTTTTTTAAGAGAAATCTAAAAAGATCTGATAGGACTTAGTTATCTGACATTCTAAGCAAGTAACCATATTTTCTATTATCTCCTGTAGACCAATCTCCCAAACTCAGAAAAATTTCAGGCCACCCATTTCTGTTTTTCCAGTGTACCTTACAGTTTGGTGCAGACATACTGACTTGGCCTCATATTCTCTTTTGATCAAAAGAATATAGAATCACAGAATGGCCTGGGAAGGGACCTTAAAGATCATGTTTCCAAACCCCCTGCCATGGGCAAGGTCACCTTCCACTAGAGCAGGTTGCTCAGGGCCCCATCCAACCTGGTCTTTAACACTTCCAGGGATGGAGCATCTACAACTTTTCTGTCAACCTGTTCCAGTGTCTCACCTCCCCCCACAGTAAGAACTTCTTTCTAATTTCTAATCTAAACCTACCCTATTTCAGTTTAAAGCTATTCCCCCTTGTCCTACCATTACATGCTACAACCTGAGACTTTCTGCTGTGCCTTTTGCAATCAGATATGTCTATCTTGTATTGGCCTCATTAGCCACCAGTGTGCTTGCAACAGATGTGGATAGAGCCTCCCTAAATCTTCGTTCGTGAAGCCCAGCCATGATGATCATTACATGCCCTGGTAAAAAGTCCCTCCCCAGCTTTCTTTTAGGCCCCTTTAGGTACTGAAGGTGCTATAAGGTCTCTCTGGAGACTTCTCCAGGTTGAATATTATAAAGCTGCACAGTGCCCTTATATAACTCCTAATTTCCTGTAAGAAACAATGCCAGAAGATGAACAATTATTTGCACATATTAAGATGATTAATGTCACCTTTATGCATAGAGACCTCACAGGACCTCTAAGCTTCACTGTCCATTGCATCACACACTGGTTAATTATCCATACCAGTAAAGAAAAGGCACAAAGTTCTTATGGAAGAACACTTAATCTTGTACAGTCATAAGTGACAGAATTAATTTTCCTCTAGCAAGTTTCTTATGCAACCACATGGGTCTCCTTCTGTACTTTGGACAAAGCTAATTCAGGACTGTCTTATTTTGCTTCTTGCACAAATATTGGACTCAACTGTGAGGATGTTTGCATGTAGTCTCTGTCAGGTGAGGAAACAAAGCTCCCAAGTGTTTGACAAAACAAGTATAATTATTTCTGATTTATATATGAGGAATGCAAACACACAGAGACGGGGACTTCCAAAGAATCTACAGACTGAAACAACCAGTGCATACCAACTTCCTTACTCTGCTTATGACTTGAAGAACAACTTTCATACAGTCTCTCTATTTCTAATTTTGAAGGCTACAGAAAAAAGAGAAAAGCTCAGTAGCACATTGCATCTGTACACAGAAAATCTGCCATCTCACTGAACAGCAATGCACCTGCACTTCTTCCACTGCTTCCAAGTTATCAGGTATAACATGGGAAAGACAGATCAAAGAGGCTGCGCTGACAGCCATCCAAAACAATGCATTCTGCAGCCAGGGCAATGAGCCAGAAAGGGAAAGTAAGCACAGGCCTTCAAAGAGCAACATGGGGCTGCACCAAGAAAACATGTAGGCTGAATGGTAGTGGTTCCACCACACATGATTTTGATGGCATGACTCAGCTGGCCATAAATTTATAAGTTCCCACATTAAGAGTTTTTTCCCCAACCTGAAATAGTTTGTGGTCTAGAGATGGGACAGGGAGCCAAGGACTTGTGAATTCTCATTCCCCCTCTGACATAGGCTACTTCATCACCCTCAGCTCCTATGACTCAATATCCCTCTATCTATTTCTCAGTACTGTGAAAGTTACTGGAAAATTGTGGAAATTAAGACAAACAAAGATGGACACATATGAACTATGACAGCTAATACTTCACTTGTTATCAAGTGTTAACCTTTAGTGATATGTAACATGCACATTTTTTCTCCATTAATTAATTTAACACAAAATTATTAGAGCAGTAAGGAAAAGTTCCTGATTATTTACATGCTACATCTCCACTCGCCAAAATGCAATTCATATTGGGAAAGTATACTTTTCCATCCTTGAAAAGGGCTAAAAGAAAATAGTAAAAATATGTACTTTTTAAAGTGAATCAAAGTAGATGATATCTTAACAATTAAAAAAACCCATTAAAGTAACACATTATAAATAAATCTCTCTTACCTATTAGTATCCTGTTCTTTGCAATGCCATTCTTAATCTCATCATTGATCAAGTCTGTAAGCCGCCGGCACATGGAATCAATACTTTCAGTGTGTTCAGGACAGTCATTAGAAATCTTATACCTGTCAAACCACACAGTGGAAAAGGCTCCCTTCAGAGGTGTGTATGGCCTGGAGTGGTAGAAGGGAAGAAAACAAATGATTAACCAAGCATAAGATCAAAAGCCTTCAGCATACATGATAAATAAAAACAATTCAGTATCTTTCCAGCAAAAAAGAGAATAAACTTCCTTTAGGGCTAATGCAATTTGCATCCAGTCACATTGCCTTTCATTGCATTCAAATCACGGTCCTTCAAGAATGAAGTCAACATTTGGAAGCTACATAAAAAGCAATTTTCAGTCAGTTCAATGTTAAGGTTGGTCAGGTCAGCCAAAAATTTTAAATCTCAGGCCTGCCGAGAGCTTCTTAATCCTAAACAAAGCTAGGGTTGAAATCCACACTGGAATACGACAAACTGAAGTAACAGTTAAAAAAGACAGCTTTGCAGGAACTAACTTTATGGAATTAAACTGTCTAACTCTTGACAAAATTGACAGGAGATGGGTATTATGAACTTCTAGGTATTCTGCCAATTTTTCTTTTTGTTAAATAAACACAGCCATCCTCATTTTAATGGGGCAGGTACCTTATAAAAATTACTGAAAGAAATGCCATGTGTTCACTGGACTGGTACACAATCACGAACAAGAGACATGATATTCCGCACCATAATACTGCGTTGTCAGATTAGTATTTTTAAGTGCTTCAACATGCTGCCCAAACCTCAGATAATCAAGAAACCTACAATACAAAGCAGCCTTTTCTGTTTTTAAATAAAAATTATTAATAGAGCCCTGAAACCCCAAGGAAGGTGATCTAATTGCCTTGCAATGGCTCTACAATATATTGCAAAACATACTGCTAGGAGATTGATCCTTCACCTCAAACAAAGCCACTTGAAATCCTTATTTGTTATGCTTAATCAGGGGGCAAATTCTTCATTTTACTTAAGCTCAGATCAGATTACAATTGTCATCCACAGATAGACAGCCTTTGATAAATGTCTGGATGGGAACACACTGAAAATGCTAAAGTTCACTTCTGTGCTCTCCCTGGATGTTTTTCAATACTAGCATTGAACCAAAACACAACTAACCTAAAAAGAGAATGGCATTATTTCAATTATTCTTAATGAAGGAACAAATTCTGCCTTTATTAATACCAGAGAGGCTTCACATAGTAACCAGCTATTTCTAAAGCAGTACTGCCATGAAGACGAGAGTTCAAGAGATTTCATTATTCAGTCTTAAAAGTGAAACATGAGAGAACATAAGTTTTCTTCTGCCTGTTGCAATGAACGTGAAAAAAAACGTCCATGACTTTAAAGTTGGTAAGACAAATATATTGAAAGAGGCAACAAACAGATACACTACAGTTTCATCTTTCTGAGCAGAGCTTCGGGACCAAGTGTCTGAAATGTACTGTTATTCAAAATGGCATACAATATGTGGTCAAGTTTAGTACAGAGTGTGCCTTAAATAACCCCTCATTTGCTTAATTCAAAACAAATCATATACTTAAGCACCTAAATTAAAGGAAATTCAGTGGAAATATTTTGTACACCCAGCAAGCTAAGGCTAAGTTTAAAAAATATTATTCAAATGCTTTTGCCTTTTTTTTTTTATTCTCTTTAGAATCTTGTCTCCAGGATTCTTGCCGAATGAATTTTTCAACATCTAAGAAACAAGATTACAAATCTCTAATTCACAAAAGTCAATTTCTATAAGGAGACATTTCAGTCAAACCTATCAAGAACTGAATTACTCGAGTTTCTGGAAGTCACTTGGTCAATGTGATGTACAGCAGACTAAATGCCTGGGCAAACAGCATTTGATTCATGGTTCCCTCTAAAACACTTGTACATCAATCCTGGTTAAATGCTTAGCAGCCAAAGGGCTTCATTTTCTGGTAAAGTCAGAGTACCTAATACTTTTGTGAGAAAAGATGTGAAAGGTTTTAGTATTATTACAGCAGACTGACCCAAGATTTCCATGGAACAAAGATATGTATATATATATGTATTGCATTACAGCTATTTACTTTTACATTACAAAAATATTAAAGCAGGTTTCCCCACAACTAAAAGACAAAATCATGCCATTTATAAACAGGACAAATTGCACTATGAGATTGTTATACTTTATGAGAAGACGAAACCCAGGACTTCTACCTGCTGTCTTTGTAAATTCTTCAATAAGATAGCTGAAAGACTAATGTGCTTTAAGCCCACAGGAAAAGACCCCCAAGCAAACAGGCAAGTGACTTTCAGCTGCCTCAAAAACATCCTTGCAACAACTCCTGATTTCTCAGAAATGCATTAAAAATAACCTTTACATAAAGCTGAGAAGTAAGATTCTTTTAATGGTTCACCCAACTGGCACATCTGTTTTAGTCATTCACCTTGTTCCTTAAATAATCCCTTTATTAGCTGGCACACTACAACTCAGACATTACCACGGTAAACAAATATGTTTGGCATGGAACCATCTGTATAGCTCCAAGAATACAGCACCAAATTTTTTCATACAATTAAACCACAAAAAAAAAAATCCCTGTTACAGTGACACGAGAAGTTGGATTGAAATATGCAAAAGAAAAGAAATACAGAGCGAGTGAAAACTCCATCTGATAAGATCAATGTGGTCAGTTAAGGACAGTGACAGAACAAATTGTGTACTTTAAGTTTGGATTTTTTTGCTTTCTTAAGTTTAATCGCAACTCATAACATTAGTCCCTCTGTGCCTCACTTTCTTTATCCTCTCCTAAAAATTATACTAAAAATAAAGCTCTGTGTCTCTAAAACTGTGTGCTGTTGAAACTGGTAATGAAAATATATAGTCCCCTAAGCCTTCTTTTTTTTAATTTATTTGGTTCTGGAGCACATGAAAGATTCAAATCCATATAAGAAAACAAGAATCGAGAACCCTCTCTGGGTATATCCAGCTTCCAAACTTGTATCAATTTTTAAGAGACAACTGAAGGAAAAGTTCATATGAACTTATCTCTTAACATTTAAAGGTAAGGAGGAAAGATGACGTAAAGGAGACATGGCTAGTATCAAACATCATTTAAGAAACTGCAGGCACTATTAGGATTAGAGTCTTTTTAATGCTTCCCAATATCCTCAAATCACTCTAGATCATGTTTTCTGACTACTTTATAGGTCTTATTTTTAAGGGTGTCCATTGACCTAGTATTGTTTTCTCACATGTACACCTCTTGCATGACACTGTGATTTCAAGAAGATCCTACACAATACTTCAACATCTTAAAAGCAAAATATATCCTATACTATCTCTGAAAGTACTTATCATCCTTTCAGTCTTTTTCAAATGTATATTCAAATGGAAGTAATTTTCACTGTTGATTTGACTTCAAAGTTTCAAAGCAATACATGTAATTTCAGTTAGCTTCTGCTAATGTGAGTTCTGTAGTAATGAGGAAAATATAAAGTAGGCAGCAGTAACACCACGTTTTTCCACCTTCCTGAAGCATGAACTCTAGACCTGCTTAATCACATTTAGAAATGTGCTAACTAGTCTGAAATTATCCTAAGTTAAAAGAAGTGGAGAGCAACCAAATGATGCTACATGGAGTTCAAATTCAGATCTAAACCGATGGCAAATTCTATCTCCAAAATGAGGCCATTAGCAAAGTGATTCACATAAAGCTACAGGTGTTTTTGTTCATTATCCAGTAAGTCACTGTGCCTGTCCAACATATTAAGTTAAAAGACAAGCCAGCAGTGCTAGCTGCTTTAAATAAGAAATATAAGAGTAGCAGACAGCACGTTGATAAATAGTAAATATTATTCCCCCGACTCTTTCTCCTGATGCACAATTGTATCACTGCCCTCACGCTCAGTGCTACGATCACCCTGCATTAGCAGTCACATAAAACCCAGACCACTGGTGCTGGCTTTCAGGGTTCCAGACAGAACTTCCTGAAATGTCAGACAGAACTGGAAATTTATAGTGAAGTTAGGCTTCGAGATTCAAATAAGGACAGAGAAAGATCAAAACTAATAAAATCCTCAATTTTTCTTCCTTCCCAAACTCATCTTCTCTCAGCTGGGAGGCACAGAGACATTGTAATGTTGTCTTTTGGAAGATTGTGCACCCCTTCAAGAAAATCTACAGAGTACACTACCACACTGTCTAGGTTCTACTTAACTCTGCTCTGATGAGACTCCACCTGGAGTACTGCATCCAGTACTGGAACCCTCAGAACAGGAAAGATATGGATCTGTTGGAGCAAGTCCAGAGGAGGGCCACAAAAATGATCAGAGGGATAGAGCGTCTCCCCCATGCAGAAAGGCGAGAGAGCTGGATTTGTTCAGTCTGGAGAAGAGAGGTTCCAGAGCGAACTTAGTGAAGTCTTCCAGTACTTAAAGGGGCCTATAAGCAAGATGGGAGCAATCCTCTTAGTGTTGTGATAGAACAATGGGAATGATTTTAAACTAAGTGGAGGTACATTTAGACTAGATATGAGGAAGACTTTATTTACAATGAGGCTGCTGAAATACCAGCACAGGCTGCCCAGAGAGGTGGCAGATGCCCCATCCCTAGAAACATTCAAGGTCAGGCTGGATGGGATTCCAAGCAATCTGATCTAGTTGAAGATGTCCCTGCTCATTGCAGGGGTATTTGACTAGGTGACCTTTAAAGATCCCTTTCAACCCAAAATATTGACTGATTCTAGAAGTAAGTCTTGACTCTCTTAAAAGTGATGGCAAGTTTTTCAAATGAAAGCAAGGTTACTCCCTAGTCCCAAATTCTCTCATAGCATAATCTCACTGCTGAATTTCAATACCACATCACAATAGAAAATTTAGTACATAATTCTGTTTTTTAATTCCCACTGTCTTCTTGAAACAGAAAGCAAATTTGAAAAGAAATGGGGAAGAAAGCAGAGAATCCAGCTAGTCAAATGAGAAGTATAAATCAAATCTCTAGTCCAAGGTATATCTTATGTTAAAACTGAGGTTTAACATATCTTAACAATGAAGGCTTGTGGTATGGAAACAGAGCATAAGACATGTCCAAAATTCAAACAGTTTCGACTTGGAG